CACAGAGAAGAAGTCTTCTTAACAGCTGTCAATGGTGTCCCCATTGGAAGATTTCCCTCTGTTCCTGTTCTGGTGACAACTGTAAGATTCTGAATTTTTAGTCCTTTAGTCCATGGTGACAAAGGGGGGTGAGTCTCCCCAACAGGAACACACATGACCCTTCCATACTCTATCCAAAACTAAAAGACAAAGAAAAAGTGGCTGGTAAGCCACTTCCTGCCCTAGAGTGGCTGGTAAGCCACTTCCTGCCCTAGAGTGACCCCGCCGGTAAGCCACTTCCTGCCCTAGAGTGACCCCGCCGGTAAGCCACTTCCTGCCCTAGAGTGACCCCGCCGGTAAGCCACTTCCTGCCCTAGACTGACGACATTCATTTACCTGCTGTATCTATGGAGATGTGGCGGCATCACCCTAGGAAAGAAATTGTGTTAGGACTACAGAACACCTCCCCATCTTTTCATCCCAGTGCCATAGGTGGAGGTGTTCTGCCATCCGCAAGGAACTGGAAAAAATGCAATAGCGGTCGGCAGAGAGCACAGGAAGTTGGGAACACTCTGGTTTTCTGGCAGGATCCTTTTCTACTAAATAACACTTTCAATGGTGTATTCAACAGACCAAAAGGGAGCCAATAAGAGACGCTCATTGTTGGGGCGTTACATACACTTGGGGGGGGCTCTGTAACAGTGCCATGTATGTGCAGTGCTATGCTCTTCATTGTCTCATCCCAACACAGTACAGGAGGACAGCACATGACGGCGCACACACGGCGGGTTGTGGGGTCTGCGGCCCGTTCATTAACACAACGCACAGCAATGAGCGCTCAGTTATGGCGCATTAATGGGCACGCAGGTGTGAATGGGCCCTCAATAAGCGTGACAGTAGGCCAATCAGGTCGGAGGTCCCTCTCACAACTCCTTTGCTTCAGAGAAGACAAAAAGCAGCGATTTCCAATTGTGCTACAAAGTTCCGCGACTCCCTGGCGGTGGTCAGACCCGGTCACTGCCCTTACCGTGAAGAATCCTTTCCTGAACCGATGGGGAAAGCTTCATGAGAGAGGGATCCCGTCACCAGCTTCATTTTTGGGGCCTCAGAACCGTCTGGGGACTGGAAGAAGCTGGAGAGGCTCGGGGGCTGAGATATGAAGGTTTAAATCATGTTGCTGCCGGGCAACACAGACAGTTTTTATTTGAGAAACCTTTATAAGATAATGTAACAATCTCCCCAGCAGGCCGGGGCGTCCGGATCTCCTCAGCTGAATTCATCAGCACAGCCAGCAAACATCCAGAAATCCTGGCGGGCTGCAGGCGATGAAGCCCCCCGCACACAATGAGGCCCACGCAATGAAGCCCCCTGCACGCAATGAGGCCCTCGGGCCTGTTGCAGACAATGCGGCTCAACCCGAGTCTCCATTGCCAGGTGTGTCTCAGCATGCTGGAATACAAACTGCTGTAACAATGGAGAATGACGCCGATGATGTCACTCAGCTGCGGCTACACTTCTCCAGGTCAGGCGCTGGACGGTAACTGAGGGCAGCAAAATGCATGGAGACTACAAATACACAGAACACATCATGGCCCCACAACTCACATACAAGGACATCCAAACACTGCGCTCAGACCAACTGCAACCCCAACAGAGCTGAGCGCATGCTTCCCCCTCACCTGTGACTGAGCGTCTGATCCTGGAGGCATGAGGCGCCGATACCTCCCCCAATCCTCAGCAGCACACAGGTGTCTACAGGTTCCTAATGTCAGAGAGCTTCACATCCAGTGCTCACCTACTTCACATGGACTCCACATTGTCCACCTCAAGCTGCTCACACTTCCAGATCTGTCCTGACCCAAACCTGAAAACTTTAAATGACAGGAAACCCAGATCCAGGAGACCGGACCGCACTTCCCCTGTCCTCTCTGTGTTAATCCAGAGTCACTCCAGATCCAGGAGACCGGTCCGCACTTCTCCTGTTCTCCCAGTGTTAATCCAGAGTCACTCCAGATCCAGGAGACCGGACCGCACTTCTCCTGTCCTCTCTGTGTTAATCCAGAGTCACTCCAGATCCAGGAGACCGGTCCGCACTTCTCCTGTTCTCCCAGTGTTAATCCAGAGTCACTCCAGATCCAGGAGACCGGACCGCACTTCTCCTGTCCTCTCTGTGTTAATCCAGAGTCACTCCAGATCCAGGAGAACGGTACGCACTTCTCCTGCCCTCTTAGTACTAATCCAGGGTCACTCCAGATCCAGGAGATCGGTCCACGCTTCTCCTGTCCTCTCAGTACTAATCCAGAGTCACTCCAGATCCAGGAGACCGGTCCACACTTCTGTCCTCTCAGTACTAACCCAGTGTCACTCCAGATCCAGGAGTCCGACACGCCCTTCTCGTGTTCTCCCAGAACTAATCCAGTGTCACTCCAGATCAAGGAGACTGGTCCGCACATATCTGGTCCTCCCAGTGTCACTCCAGATCCAGGAGATCGGTCTGCATTTCTCCTGTTCTCCCAGAATGAATCCAGTGTCACTCCAAATCCAGGAGACATGTCCGCACTTCTCATGTTCTCCCAGAACGAATCCAGCGTCGCTCCAGATCCAGGATACCGGTCAGCACTTCTCCTGTTCTCCCAGTATTAATACAGAGTCACTCCAGATCCAGGAGACTGGCTCACACATCTCCTGTTCTCCCAGTACTAATACAGTGTCACTCCAGATCCAGGGGTCCGGTCCGCACTTCTCCTGTCCTCTCAGTGTTAATACAGAGTCACTCCAGATCCAGTAGACCGGTCCACACTTCTCCTGTTCTCCCAGTACTAATTCAGCGTCACTCCAGATCCAGAAGACCAGTCTGAAATTCTTCTGTTCTCTTAGAACGAATCCAGAGGCACTTCAGATCCAGGGGACCGGTCCATACATCTCCTGTTCAGCAGACCGGTCCGCACTTCCAGCCAGCTCCAGGCAGAGCAGTACCTCCGAAGGCCACAGTGTGGCACTAAAGAGCCAACTCAGTTAGAGGCATTGCTGTACTGTTGATGGCCACAGGGTGGCACTGTAGAGCAAATACATTTTCAGTCAGAGCAGTAGCGCCGATGGCGACAGTGCAGTGTTCTATCGAGATGTCCAACTTGTAGAGATCTCCAACTCCCATCAGAGTGCCTGCGCGGCCACCCATGAGCAGCATCACGTTCTCTAATTTGTGTTGATGGCCAATGTGTGGCACTCTAGAGCCACCAGTTCCAGGCAGGGCATTACCACTGATGGCCACAGAGGGGCACTGCAGAGCCAAGTCATTTCCAGTCATGGCAGTACTAATGATGGCCACAGTGTGGCAGTGCAGAGCCAAGTCATTTATAGGGAGAGCAGTACCGCTGATGGCCACAGAGGGGCGCTGCAGAGCCAAGTCATTTCTAGGCAGGGCATTACCACTGATGGCCACAGAGGGGCACTGCAGAGCCAAGTCATTTCCAGTCATGGCAGTACTAATGATGGCCACAGAGTGGCAGTGCAGAGCCAAGTCATTTATAGGGAGAGCAGTACCGCTGATGGCCACAGAGGGGCGCTGCAGAGCCAAGTCATTTCTAGGCAGGGCATTACCACTGATGGGCACTGCAGAGCCAAGTCATTTCCAGTCAGGGCTGTACTGATGATGGCCACAGAGTGGCGCTGCAGAGCTGATTCAGTTCCAGGCTGCAGCAGGGGCTGATCTGTGTTAGACAATTGTGAACACTCCTTTCATCTGCTAGTGATTTCCAGTCACAGCTTGATATTTTGTCCTAGCCACAGATATCAGAGAGCGGTTGGACAGTGATGTCTGAAAATGGCCCCGGGTGGGGGATTGCCCTTAAACAGGAATGCCCCCCCCCACATGACCTCCCAAAAGGAGGGAGGGGCCAGCCTTGCTGTGTGCAGGTGAATGCCCCTCCCACATTACCATCGTAGGGTACCAGCAGATGGTTTTGCTTGTCATATCATGGGGGGGCTACACTCTCTCTAGAGTTACCAAAACCAATGTGATAGGCCAGGCGGCCCCGGGGCCCCCGTTCTGGCTGACACGCGTGGCCCCCGGTGTTGTACGCTCTCCGGTCTTTGCGTGACGCCGCGTCCGATGACGGCGTCCGTACCTTGAAGTCCGCTTTGTCTTTATGGCTCTTCCTCCTGTAAAGGTTTTATTGGCGCGCTCCCCCGACGAATCATCAAAGGACGGCTCAGCGCTCCGTGTCTGCGGCTCATCCCGACAAGACGGTGACAACGCCGAAATCCCCAAATCCCACATTTATAGGTCTGGAACCGCCCAGAGACTGCAGATCTGCGACCCCGCCCCCGTGACA